GTTAATGAATAAAGCTGAAACAAAGCGGAACAGAAGAAGAGACCAATTTTTTACCTGCCACAGACCTACGGCCATGCCTCTCCCAGAAAGACGCCCACGTACGTATCCCCCTCGTATGGGGGAGTATGGCCTCGACCCATTCGCGTATCCAAGGCAATGGGGGCGGCGGCGACCTGTCGGCTACAAAAAGACACGAGTTAACGCTCATAAGCACAGATCATAAAGAGGGGAATAGAGGAATTCAACCACTAAAGAACTTACGTGCATGGTTCCAGGCCTCTGGGAACCCAGTAGCATCCGCCACCAGGTGTTGGGTCCTGATATAAAAGAAGTGCTCGAAAGGGCGGGGGTCGACCTCGTCATCCAATCTCGTGACCAGGCCCCTCGCCCCACGAGGGCACGCCCGAATCATGGTGCCACGGACTCTCTGGGGAGCGTAGAGACTCAGCACGTGCTGCAGCGTGACCTCCCTACGGGCCAATTCCGCATATTTGATGAACATCGCCAACAATTTGTAGAGGGAAGGAGTGAGCTGACCCGGGCACACCCCGTAATAACGGCAGAAATCCACCACCAGCATTGGGAGCGGGATCTTGAACCCCAACCTGAAAGGATAGGCGTAAAAAACGCAGTATCCCCTGCGGTCGGTGTGGACCCTCTCCTCGCTTCTAGCGAGAACGATGTCTGCATGGGTAGGAACGACCCCCTGTTCCCGCAATCGGGCCATCCCAATCTCCCCCATCAACGGGGCTTCATCCACCGGTTCCTCTCCACCGTCGACGGTGAAATCAATCGCCAGACCTCCGGGCCGAGGAACCACCTCGTCAACCGACGGAATTTCGCCGGACTCCATCTGTTCTGCACCTCCCATTGCCGGAGATGGCCCTTCAACTACCGGAAAATCTACCGGAGGAGCACCGTGGGAAGAACTGACTGCCATTGTTGATCTAATGAAGACAAATGGTGCCACAATCAAAGGAAAGAAAAGAGAAGATGAATTAGCGAAACGAAAAAGTTTCCTTAGAATCTCTCTCTCAGATGAACAATGAAGATATGAGAAATGAATGCCTCATCTCACCTTTATAGGCAACATAAATGGCTTTTGCGAAACCCAATAGCCATCATTAACTGCACGACCAACCGTAAAACGGTTCGGTTCTGTCGTAGCAAGCGTCATTATGACGAGCTCCATAAAGCGGCTTCTCAGCCATCCGCCAGCATACCGCCATCAGAATAGTCGCTACGACCTGCGAACACTGAAAGAAAGTGTCGTACGCCGTTAAAATTTTGGACGACCAAATACGTACCCAGCGCATATTCATTCCCCACGGCCATCTCCAATATATGAAAGGCTACGGCCATCTTGATCTCCAATGAATGAAAGGCTACGGCCATCTCCAATATATGAAAGGCTACGGCCATCTTGATCTCCAATGAATGAAAGGCTACGACCATCTCCAATATATGAAAGGCTACGGCCATCTCCAATATGTGAAAGGCTACGGCCAACCTCAACATATGAAAGGCTACGGCCATCTCTAATGTATGAAAGGCTCTCCAATGTACGAAAGGCTACGGCCAGCTCCAACGTGTAAACGGCTAAGGCCACCGCTGCCAATAAATCGACTCCCTTATTCGAGTTGTTTTCAAATCACAATCGATGAAGTCCGCTCATCGAGCTCGGCCAAGGCCCGATCTCAATAAGCGGAGGGACTAACTGTATGGGTCAAAATCCGACCCCACGATAATTAACGGAGTTAATCTCGTCCTGAGCTAAGACATAATTAATGAAGTGGTATGGCCACTTATTCGTAATAGGACTCGACTCTTGTCCGATTTAATCTACGAGGGTACGGCCCAGTCATTCCCACATGGGGACGGAACTTCAGCATGGCCACGGCCATTTATCGCCAGCTCACAAAGCTCACATCTATAAATACTAAGAGCAGTAGCCCTAGAAAAGGGGGGCTTCTTGACCACTAGTGAGAGGAGAGAGAAACGAGAAAATATATCCCTCTTATGGGAAGAGAAAAACACCATTGTAAGGCTCTGAAGAAGAGGCAGACCAAACAAATATTATCAATAAAGGTTTCTAATGCTTCTCCCCCTAATTCTGAGTTCTTATTTTAGTTTCTTTCATTTGGTCCAACGGATTATTACGATTTGCTATGATTATCCCGGGATTAATTTATATTGTTTTGTACTCGTAAGATGTGTAACATTTTTTGAGCAAATAGAGATAATAGATATTTAATGAAATAGTTGAGATATGTACAATTTGAGCAAACATCGTCACTAAAAAAGGGAGAACTAACAAACATAACCCCACCCCCACCCACCCCTCACCCGTGGCTCTCCCAAATCCCAATCCACCAAGGCACCAATCAGTGGCGGAGCTAGGGAGCGGTAGGAGTCCATCTGAACTCTCTTCGTCAGGAAATTATATCATTTATATAAGATATACAAAATATTTATGTATGTATACATATGGAATGGTGAATGTTCTTGGCTTCTCTCTATGTTTAAATTGTTTATTTTATTATTTGAATTTCTTAGTGAAAATTTTGGCTCTATCACTGCCGCCAACTATTACATTCCAGTGAAGGATAGGGGGAAGGCTGACTAAAAAGTTTGTGTTGGTGGTTGCTTGTGAATTTATGAACTAAAGTGATGTGTGGCAAAGCCTTTGGCAACTTCCTTGATTTTTTTTCTCTCTCTATATTTGCAAATGAACTAGTTTTCCTTTATTTGAAGAAATTACTAAGTAGGGATGGTAATCATCGTTGTGAATTTTAATCACAACTCGCAACTTTTTACACGGAGAGTCTATCGGAAACAACCTCTCTATCTTTACAAGATAGGACTAAAATCTGCGTGTATACTATCCTGTCAAGACCTTACTTCTGAGACTACAGTGAGTATGTTATTGTAACAATTTTTTTCCACATACAAGGTTTCTTGAAAAACCAAATAGTCAATAGGCTTAATTACAAGAAACCTATTGTCTATTTTGTACATTTCTTGGGCATCTATACAAGGTGAAAGAGACAGATGCAATTTCATTTCAATTTCTCATTTCTCATAATTATGGAGTAGTACGGGCCAAAATTGCCATTCTACAACATGGGCAATGTGCATTAGACTCTAGCCATGGAACCAAACACTTGGAATGGAACCTATGGGCACATTGCAATTGCATTAGGTTATCACCAACCTTAAATTGGTCCAAGCAAATAGCACATTCATCTTGTTCTGAAGATTTCCAAATCATCTTTGCCCAATTGAACTTCTTTGATCCACTCTTCTTTAGTCCAGAAAACACTTCTTGTTGCAAATTATCCACAACCAAATTTGGCCTATTCTCCACCATTCCTTGCCTTTGGTTTTGTTGTCCATTATTGACACTCCTGAATTTAATGATACAAAAAGAAAAACACAATCAGTGAGATGAGAATAAAGGGATCAAACATATGGTTGGAATTGCAAGTTAGAACTAATATAGTTTTCCTAAAAGATTTAAGTTATATATACTGACAGAAATATATTTTAAATTATTAGTGTAATTTAATCTGTTATCTTGGTTTTCCTCTTCTTTTTATCTTGTTATTCCTCCTACTTGTCGTTGCCGTTTCTTCTTTTTCATCCTTTCTTAAGCCGAGGGTCTACCGGAAATAACCTCTCTGCCTTTCCAGGGTAGGGGTAAGGCTGCGAACATCTTACCTTCCCCATACCTCACTTGTAGGAACTCGCGGCGTTTGTTGTTGTAATTGTAGTTGTTGTTGTGTAGTTTAATATGTGATGGCAGGTTAGTACCATTTTTAATCATAGAGATATACTTTTAATTGACTCATAAATAATCTAATTGCATAGACACTTTTTACACCTTCATATAACTTTAAAACTCTTTGTAATTAACATGAGCCTATATCAAGAAAGGAGAAGTGAGCTTTTCACCTCTTATTTTTTGATTTCCATCTTGCACTAAGCCTCTCATCCAACCTTTGCCTGGCTTCTCTAGCAGCTTCACCTAGTTTCTCATCTTGGTATGCTTGGCTTGTTGCACTCCTTTGCTGTTAATTCAGTTATGCAACAAAAAAAAAAAAAAAAAAAAAAAAAAAAAAAAAAACACACAAGAATTAGTCTATAACAATAACAATTACAGTTCCATCCCTAGTAAATTTGGATTTACTATATGAATCCTAGTTGTCCATATCGCTTCATTTAAGCTCATCCTACTCTTATATTAGTATTTGGACTGCCTAGGTCATACTCCTTGAGTGCGGACTTTTCCCCAATCCTACATGAACACATGATATTTCATGTACCGAACTTCCTTTTTTTGCTCTTTTATCAATATCATGTCATTGCATCCGGAAAAAAAATCCTAACAATGGTAGATAAAAATTTAAAGGGCGGGCCGGTGTTTAAGGTATCCCGCATGCATGCAAGGTCGGGGGAAGGGCCTTACCCAAAGGGGTGTGATGGGTGTGATGTAGACAGCCTGATCTAATGCAAACATTAGTGGCTGCTTTCACAGCTCGAACCCCTGACTTATTGGTCACATGGAGATAACTTTACAGTTGCTCCAAGGTTCCCTTCTTATAGATGAAAATTTTCTTATGCAAAATTAATACTTAAAGCAAACATGGAGGGAATATTAGTATATACCTTAGAAGAGCTTGAGTTGAGAGGGTATTCATGGCTACTAGTGTATAGACAAAAAGAAGACCTTCTTGTGGATGAAAAGCCAAAGGTATGAGATGAATCTAACCATCCACTACTTTGATGAAACCTCCTTCTTCTAGCACATTCAACCCCAGGAAGCATGCCTGCCATTTTTATACACAAAACTCAAGAGGAAAGGGAGAAGGAAACAATATTGAAAAACCAAAAACTATAACTATATAGTCCTAATTAAATACTCTATTCAACTTTTCAATATCTCCATAGATTCTGTATAAATTAGCAAGAGTTGGTTTCCTTCCTTAGTAACTTCAAAACTTGTGTCATTGTTATTGTTTTTGTTGTTTTATAATGATAGAAAAGACCACTCCTCAATGCAGAAGTTTCTTTGAAAGTGAGACTTTTAATATATTTATTTGAATCTTGAAAAGAAAGGGCCAAAAATGAAAGTTTTGGACTAAAGTTCTCTGGCATACAAAAGAGGGTCCCTACCATTTCATTCATTTTTTGATAAGCTCTCATTTTCAGTTCACTTCCCTATTTTCATCTGTCTTTCGTTTAATTAGAAGGCGAGTCTTGGTACAACGGTAAAGTTGTTTTCGTGTAACTTTTAGGTCACCGATTCGAATCGTGGAATTAGCTGTTGATGATTGTATCAGGGTAAAGTTACCTACGTCACATCTCTTGGGTACGATCTTTTTCTGGACCCTGCGTGAATACGAAATGCTTTGTGCACTAAGCTGCACTTTTTCACTTAAATTGAAGGAGGTGGTACGAAGGACATGACCTTTTCTTTTCTCTCTTTTTAAATTATTTCCCCTTAACTCTTCTTGTTCTTATAAATTTTACAAACAATCTAGATTGGAGAAAGGGAAAAAGAAAAAACCAGATATGAGTAATAATTCTATCATCGAAATATCTTTTGGAAACTGGGAGAGGATAAACACTCACAATCAATCATGATACCTAAGTATTTACAGGAGATTCTTTTAACATATATATACTTAGTCTTTGATATGTATTATCATTTAGGGCGGCTCGGTGCGTAAAGCATTCCGCATGTACACATGGTCTGAGAAAGCCCTCATTTCAAGGGATGTGATGTAAATAGTCAACCCTAATGCAAGCATTAGTGACTGCTTCCACAACTCGAACCATGACCTATAAGTCATGCAAAAATAACTTTACCGTTGCTCATAATTCAATTTTAGATTTTTTCCTTTTAAGCAAAAAAATATATATTAAACTATACATTCTTACATTAATTTCTTAATACGTGAATTAAGTAACTTCATGTACTCCAGATGAAACTGGTTATATATACACTATACTAGGATGTAATTATATTCTATTTATAGATGATCTAATCCGATAATCATTTCAGGTGAGTTTGGTGTGTTGCAAGAGTTGTTTTTCAGGAAAATTATTCTCCGTTACTTCTCTAATATGGATGGAAGTTATTTTCTTTGTAAGCTATTATTATTTTAGATTTTAACTTACAAGTAATACTTAGATATTATAATATATCTCTAGTACCCAAAGTAATATCAAAACAATTTTTGATTTTCTATTATTTTAAATTTTAATATATATTTTTTTCTAAAAATACTTTTTGCTCACCGTTCAAATACGGAATAACATTTTCTATAAAAATTACTTCTATTGTACCAAACACATTCTATTTTAACCATTTTTTACTTATACATTACGCGTTTGAATCTTGGAAGCAGCCATTAATGCTTGTAATAGAGTAGGTTGCCTATATTATACCTTTCGGGTACAATCCTTTCTGAACGTAAAATATTTTGTGTAAAAAACTATCCTTTTATGATCTTTAAACTGATACTCATTTGAAAGATTACTATCTTCTTTTGTGTTTCCTTTCTTGTAGCTTAATGATTACCCTAAAAATCGAGTAACAATTAAACTTGTAATGTGATTTAAGGATACGTGATTTCACTTAATACCAATTGATTAATTTAGAGATAAGTGATGGAAATTGACAAGATTATAAAACAAACCGATGCTTGGACAGTGCCCTCGAGCTGATGAACCCTCGAGAGTAGTAAAGTAAGAACAGTTAAAGAACAATAAGTTAATGAACAATAGAGAAATATTATATTGCTTTTGTTATGTATGTATGTAAGGTGTTTACAGATGATGGGGACCCCTCTTTATATACTAGAGGAATCCTAATTATAGTACAATTCTAATTACGGAAGTAAATCCCATGATTGGTACAAATAACCGCCCTTGATTTGATCTGTTCCGAGATTTTCACCGTGATCTTCGACCAGTTATGGATATCTCGCCTTTTCGTTATTGCACTTCACTCGAAGTCGGTCATACTTAATCTCGATTGTCGTTGGCCTCGATCTCAACGGACACTTCGATCTTTAGACTATATGCCTCGTCTTCGAGCTGGGTCTGATTCATTACGAGGCTACCCCCGATGCAACTCCCTTGTCTCGATCAAATAGTAAAATCGGGTAGGCTCGAGTTTGACCGTATACAGATAGTTCCCTCGTTTCTTAGAATGTAACGAGAAGAAACGAACTGAGCCTTCGATTTAGTACCTCGACCAATTATGACGTCACCCTCGTGACGTAAGCGACGGAGGCGACCGAAGCGTTGCATCTACATAGTTCTCAAGATCATCAATTAGTTCCAGTTGATGCTCGGCCACAAGTGTTTTCAAACCGTCATAGCAGATATTATAAATAGACCATCTTCATAGTTTTCTTAAACTGTACTTTCAAAATTTTCCTAATCTTCAAACTCTTCTACTCCCTTCAAGCTTATCAATTCTGCAGGTTCTTCGAATCAGTTTGCCAATCTTTTCTTAAAACAACAAGTTTCATCTTCTTCTTTTTTTGAACTCATATAACAATGGCAAAAACATCAAAAACCGTTCCCCTAAAGGAAAAAGCGTCTTCATCGCGGCCGGCCGGCGATTAAACACCGGTGGAGCCATGCATCGAGGAGGGTGTTCCGGGGTCGTGTGATCTTACCTGTGACTTCAAAGTCGAGAAACCCTCTTCAGTCCCTGGCTGACGTGATACCATGTCGAGATATATATGCTCGCTAGCCGAAGCGATCTCGAGCAGGTGAAAAAAGATTGCCACTGGAAAAACAAAGAGGTGGTGATTCCTACCCCCCGATGAGGATATTACCACTCATGTGAAAGGATTTTTTAAGTGTTTACACTTACCCTTTCATGTTGGGTCCCCCCGATCCCGTTATGATCGACTTCTGCCTCCAATATCACATAACCTTAGGCCAAATCCACCCCTCTTTTTGGTGCATCGTTATTTTGCTCCGATTCTTTGTGAGCAAGGTCGAAGGGATGCCATTTACCCTCGACCACCTCATTAGTTTGTATAGCCCCCGTCTCTATCGAGACGGATTAATAAGGCTCCATCGCCGAGTCATAAAGGTGTTGTTCTCAAGTACAGACGAGGACGAGGATCGGGGATGGGTGGGTCGGTTTCTCCGAGTGAGGACCTCCGATATAATCCCGGCCGAGAAGATTCCATTCCCCGAGGAATGGAACATGAAGCGTAAGTACAAACCCATCAACATCTTATGTTGATTGCTTTGTTTCTTTTATCTTCCTTCACCCACATCTTTTCTCACCTACGTCTTTTCTTATGATGTAGCAGTTTCCTGGGGCTCGGTGCAATCCCGAACCTCGAAAGCTGGGTTCGAAAGATGGCATCGACTTCTACATATGCTGAGCGCTTGTGGCATGTTTTATTGAGGGGCTGATGGGAGGCCAAGAATCATGGTAAGCTTATTTTATACCCTTTTAATGCTCTTCTCTGAAACGTTTCTTTTCATTTGTACTTGATTTCTTTTTATGCAAGTCTAGGGGATGTTGCCGAAATGAGGCCGCCCCTTCCTGGGGAAGAGGTATTTTCGAAGCCGTCGAAAGAGAAGAAAAAAAAGAGGGTCTCGCCTTCCGATAATCCAAAGCCCAAGAAGAGCAAGGCTCATAGGTCGAAGAATGACACTGCCGCTCTTCCTGCCGACGTAGACCAAAAGCTACGAGATGAATATGAGGAGAAAGAAGATGTTGACTACGAGTTGGTGGCTCGAAAGAGGGGAAGCACCGAAGCTTTAGAAGCAGCTGAACCGGTGACGGTCGAGGAGGCTCATCTTCGGACCGAGGAGATCTCGAAAGATGGTCCGAGCAAAGTCCTGAGTCATCGGGGGCTGAAGATGTCTCCCCCCGTGACGAACAACTAGCGAGTGTGCTTGTCCGCTGTGACAAACAATCGGCGGGTGTGCCTAAAGGGTTCGATTCCGAGGCCCTCCAGAAAGGAGAGAGTGCCCCAAGTGTCGTTCTTAGGTCAATCAATATTGATGATTCGCCGCCCCTCCCCACATTTTCTGAAGGGCAATTTTGGGAGCCCAGTCTATGGAGACCCCCGACGTGGGAACATCTCGCGAAGGGGATGAATTATTTTGTGGCTGCTTCACAGGGGTCGATGATGTTTTCGACCTGGATGCATCGATCATTTTTGATGAGGCTCAGCGACTCCTGAACCAGGGTAGATTTTAGCCCCGTTATTAGGTCTACGTTTGCTTTTATTTCTTCTTGTCTGATTTCCTTCCTTTCTCCATAGGCTGTGACGCTTCATCGGGAAGCATTTTCCAAATCCTGAGCTGAGCTGAACCGATGTGAGGCTGATCTCAAAAGGCTCACGGAGGAGAGAGACGCCCTCAAACTCCTCTATGTGCAAAAAGAATAGGAGGTCAGGGACCTCCGAGCTGAATTGGCAACAGCTCATAAAGAGCAGACCGATCTCATCAAGCAAGTAATGTAAAGTTTTGGGAGCTTGACATATCATTTTGATATTGGTGACTAACACTTAGATCCTGCAGGTTCAGTTTAAGGCCGAAAAGATTGAGCAGCTTCGCGAGGAGGCTGAGACTTTAGGGTGGAATCAGAACATGGGCCGCCTCGCCTCGGAGAAATATACCGCTTGAGCCCAGCTATCTTCGGCTGAGCATCAACTCTAAAGCATGAAGGAAGAGAGCATGGCCTGAGACAAGAAAATTGAAGAGCTCAAGACTTGGTTGGCCACTGAGCTTGCAAAGGCCGCATCTATAGCGGAAAGAGTAAAGGCCGACGCGGAGGCGGTCGTGGCCGTTTACCGAGCCGATGCTGAAGCCGCTAACATTCAAGCAAAGGAAATTTTCGATGCTACTCAGGTTCGATTATCCTGCGTTGCCGAGCATGCTAAGTGCCAGTCTCGGAGAGAGACTCTCGAAGAGATTCATGCTCGTGGCTTTGACCTCACGGCCGATATCGAGAATGCAAAAGTGCTAGAGGCCGAAGCCGAAGCTTTGCTCTCTAATGATGATGACTCCGGGAGTGCGAGCGGATACGAGAGCGGAGAAGATGAAGATGAAGCTCCCGGGGAA